TTAAACCAACAATTGCGCTGTACTCTAGAATAAGTAATAATTCCGTAAAACCCAATGCAGTTTTAGGCGAACCTGTGCATTATTCCATTGAGTTGCACAATCCGTTACACGTCCCACTACCACTATCAGATGTGACACTGTTGTGGTCATTCACTTACAATAATGAGACTATCACGAATGAAACAAAAACGACCGATAGTTCAAATCCGGTCGATTCGGACATTATAGATGCAATTCTGTTGCAACCAGCATGCAAACAGAATATCGTGTTGTCTCTTACTCCCAAGCGAGTGGGCGAATTGAAAATCTTAGGTATAAGTTATAAATTGTCCAATTTAGTACAGATGACAAGCGATTTATCGATAACAAATTCGACCATTGTCACCGGTAAGAGATTATTTGAGATTACGCCGCCTAAATTAAAAAATATCAAAGAGAAACCTGGTGTGAACACATATGGGAAGGATTATAGGTTGGAGATGAATGTGATAGAGAAGGCGGCATTTATGCAGGTATAGTTTTACGAAAAGACAATTATGTCACATGATACAAAAATTTGAAATTCTTATTCCTTTTCGCAGATACTCTTCACTAAACTATCGCCAGAAATGCTATGTGGTGAGATACAAAGGGTAGAAGTTACGTTAAAGAATGTAGGTAATGCACCATTGATGAACATACATATTGCATCTACCGACGCGAAACTTTTTACATTAGGAAATACAGAAATTGATAAATTCGCAAGTGAAGGTAAGCATATGTCTTTAGGACATATATTTTATTTTATCACTTTGTTTTTGTAGATAAGATATCTTTGTATTTCTCTTTCGTCTAAAGTATGCCATTATTATTATATGGTTTACCAAATGTAACAATATTTTATTTGCAGATTTAATTGCAAAGAAGAGCAGTAAGTTAGTCACAAAGGTGACATTACCAGTTTCCAAAAATGGTATGTTGAATATGGGCGAGATTCACAAAATGCCACTTTGGGTGCAAGCACCCCATATAAAAGGCACTTACAGATTAGATCTGCTCTTCTACTACGAAAGCGTCGAATCAAAAGCTATTTTGAAACACCGTTTATGCCGGCACACTTGGCAATTAACGGTGTTGGACTCGATACAAATTACCGCGATTGCCGCTAGAAGCAGATTGTTCAAGGACGACTCGCCGACGTTAAATTTAATCATGTCCGTTAAGAATACCAATCAAGTTCAAGATCCATCCATAAATGAGATTATTTTATCAGAAGTATCACTTCAGAGTGCTGTATGGTCCACGTTTCACTCCTCACCGCCAAGCATAAAGGTACAACCTCAAGAAGTATTTCATCTGATGCTGAAGCTGAAGAAGAGGAAGGCTGACGGCGAGTCGATTATTTCAAGCGTGTCCTTGACTCCCAACGAAGCCGGCGAGACATTGACTGACAGTTATCCGTTTATTAATTTTATACAGAAACGTCATATTCAACCGCTGGACGTGAATGAAAATGCAGATGTGCAACAGTTTCAATCGCAACAAAATGTTGAGCGCAACTCTGTATCGGATGTCATGGCATTGAATTCTACACTGATTATCAAATGGTGCGCCAACGTGACGGAGAGCGGTGTGATTACCCGAATGGCAGTCGGACAGCATCACCTCGAGCTCGAGCATTTAAACAAGACATACAAACATCCGAAGGAGTCGCGCACCGAACGTAATGAATATGGCGCTCGTTTAAAAATTTTCGGTCCGGACCAAAACGTATTGAATGCAATAACTGTCCCTCTTAAGGATCCCATATGGGAAACGGAATATCTGAAAAGTCTAATCTCGTTTTCTCTCAGTCACCAAAGGCAAGTCACACACGATTTTCGGCAAAGTCGATTGTGCATCATTCCCGTAATAATGTATTTACAAAATCACTCGGAGATGCGAGTCGACGTTAAAATAAGTACGATAGGTACTAGTAGGTGAGAGAAATAAAATATTTACAAGCAATATTTTTAAAATTCTGGGAATCTAATGCGATTTATAAATCAATAGATAAAAGATATTGGAGATTTTTGAACATCGCTACGAAAAAAATAGTTTTTTGCGCTGGGATAAATGTATGTTAAATAGTTTAACTACGTGATATTGATAAAATAAGATTTAGAGGATAATTCCTAGAATTTTAGAAACATCTTTCATCTA